GTGTGGGGCGTCCCTGTCACGCAGCCTCACGACGGCCGTGTGGGGCGTCCCTGTCACGCACCCTCACGACAGGACCCACACTAGCCATCACTACACAAATAACGTCTGAACAATTAAAGCGAGACGTGTTAAGACTGCTGTGAAAATGAACTTGAAATAAGGAGCAGTGTGTCCACGTATCCTGACAGATGGAGAGAACAAATGAAGGCCTGACACCTTTAATTTTTCAAAGGAAACTGGAAAAAATTAGGCAATTTAAAAAAAAAAGAATATCAATCAGGGATGAAACGTGGGATCCTAGTAGGCCCTGGGAAAGAAAGAGCAGAGTTACCATGAAAATTTCAGTATCCTGTTTTATAATATCAATACTATTCACAGAGAACAAATCCTGATAGGGGCTTGTCACCAATCAGGCATATCCTATAAAATTTCTAAAGCACAAAGAGATGGTCTAAAGTTAACGTGGACTGTTCATCATGAGGATCCAAATGCAAGCCTTTTTTAAAAGCGGATGACAAAAGTTGGCACTACTCAATCTAGTCATCTACTTTACTCAGAACACGTCAGAATGACTTCTGATGGTCTCCAAAAATTAAATCCATTTTAAGAGCGAAAATTTCCCACAAGTGGTTTCTCAAAATAATGCGATGCTAATACTTGGCTGCTAACCGAAAAGGTCGACAGTTTGAATCCACCAGACGCTCCTTGGAAACCCTACGGGGCAGTTCTACTGCGTCCTACAAGGTCAGTATGAATCAGAATTGACTCGACAGCAACAGGTATAATTTTGAAGACCATTCTGAAAGTTCTAAAATGTTTCTCTTGTAGCAAAATCACTGGCAAATGTGCATATGCCAATGTGAACATTTTTATAACATTCTGGATGTTTGTCACAACCCAAAAAAGCCTCATGAATGTACAGATATGTCAGCTAATATTAACAAGCTAAATATATCTTCAGCGTTTAGACAGCTCAGATTCTTTAATCTTAATGAATGTATGAAGCTTTTACCTTCCAGACAAAACTGGAAGAAAAGGATAATAACCAATTTAAAAGAGGCAATCTTAAAAAAAATTAAAATTGTAAGTATATGAACTACAAATTATAAATAATTACTTGTAGACTAAAAAAACACAGTAACGGCTGCAAGCAGACAAAGCTTCTACTTCCTAACAGCCTCTAAGAGCAAAACATTTTACCAGACATGGGACCCATCTAATGTAGTCAAAAATTACGTATTAACAAATTCTCCACAGAAATACATCAGCAATTAATCTCCCCAGTCTACACAGTAATGCTCTCCTGTTTTCAGTAGACCAGAAATGCAACCTGGCGCCTTTTCTTACCACTGCAATCACCACCTTCAGCTCTATGACTTACAAGCGTTAAAAATAAAAATCACCGTACCTAGCAAGCCACAACTCTTCTGAGTGGAATAATACCATTTCATTTGGCAAAGAATCTATCTTCCTTAAAACTGGTCTACAGGATGCAACAATCCATTCCTACGCATATACCCGAGAGAAAACCCATACACAACTTGTACATGATGCTCATAAGAACATTATTCACAACAGTCAAAAAGTAGAAACAACCCAATGTCCATCAACAGATAAATGGATAAGCAAAATGTGGTGTATCCATACAATGGAAGTGAAAGAAGCCAGTCACAAAAGACGACATATTGTATGACTTCGTTTATATGAAATGTCCAGAATAAGTAAATCCACAGAGACAGAAGGAGACTGGTGGTTGCCACGGGCTAGGAGGTGGGAGGAATAGGGGAGTGATTGCTAATGGGTATAGGGTTTCTTTTTTGGGGTGACGAAATGTTCTAAAATTGAATAGCTCTGATGGTTGCATAATTCTGTGAATATACTAAAAGCTACTGACTTGTCCATTTTATGATAAGTGAATTATATCTCAATAAAGCTATTATAAAAAAGAAAAACATACCACACTGTAAGTATACATGTACACACATACACACGTCTCGCATACTTTGGACTGTTATCAGGGGGGACCAGTCCCTGGAGAAGGACATGATGCTTGGTAAAGCAGAGGGTCGGCAAAAAAGAGGAAGACCCTCAACGAGATGGACTGACACACACTGGCTGCAACAATGGGCTCAAGCACAACAATGACTGTGAGGATGGCGCAGGACTGGGCAGTGTTTCATTCCGTTGTACACGGGGTTGCTGTGAGTCGGAACCAACCTGAAGGTACCTGACGACACCAACAACAATGTATGTATACACACACACGCATATATACGTACACATGTATACACATGTATACACATGCAGTAAATGTTAACTAAATTAATTCTGAGACGGGCATATAGGGTCACAGCTATTTAAAATAATGTTAATTTATTCGAGAATTCTAAAACATGGGCCTAGTTGGGGCATACTAGCATATCACATAACCAAGTCTGATAATCACTGATACATATTAAAGATTTAAACTTAACTGTCCATTGAACTAGCAACTTTTAAATTCCCAGACTCAGCAAACCAGTAGTAATCTGCTCTCTAGTGAGTCAGCTTAACTTTAGTTTCGATTTCCTACATACCAACGGAATCAAGAAACTCTCAGAGTGTGCAACAAAGAGCAGGGGCAACACCGTTCACACCTCAGGGACCGCACAACCCCATCCTGGCACACATCACATGCCCAGTTAACGAGCAGATGAGGTCACCTTGCCAAACAGCCACAAGAGTAAACGCTGGCTCTAGGCACTCTCCTTGCAGACTGGGGACAAGCCCCGCCTGTGAGGGACCACTGGTCTCTGCCCAGGACTCAGCTGTGTCCACAGCGCAAAGGCGGCACGGCAGTTTTGACGAGCAGCTGAGGCGGGTCTGGCCTGCGGGCTGTGGTGTGCAGACCCCGCCTCAGGCCAGCACTGCCCCATAGAACTTCTGCTTTGATGGAAGTGTTCTATTATCTGGCTGCTGAGCCCTACTGCAGCTGAGGCAGTGACTTCTTAATTATTAGTACCATTGTTTTACATTTAAGTAGCCACTTGTGGCCAGTGGCTACTGAATCCAACAGCACTGCTTTAGACTACCAACTAGCCAATGTTACCACTGTTCAAAAAGAAAAGAGAAAACTAGTGAATTTTCAAGCTGAAAAGAAATGCTGTGATTACATTACAGAAAACATGACAGAAAATGCTGACACCTCACAGTAGTACTGAGTGACTGAGCGTCTGTGCACTTCAGCGCAGCCCCACAGCAGGATACGTGTAGAGCTCCATGTACCTGGACTTGGCCATACTCTGCCTGGTGTAGACCTGCTGGATGCCAGCTCGGAGGTCGTCCCAGATCTGATCCAGACCAATCTGTTTCAGCCCATGGGGGTTCTGGCTCCGGTTCGATGACATTGTGAGCAAGAGTCTCAAGTCGTCCAGGGCAGCGATCCGTATTCCAGACCCAGCTAATCTTCCATTAGATGGAAATACACAGTATCATCCCAAAGTTACAGCAGCTCAGAAGCGGTGTCCTTGAGATGCAGAGAAGGCGCTCTCATTGCAGGCAAACCTGAGGAAGAAACACAGGGTGGTCGTTAATTCTCTCGGGGCATGGTGTGGGGGGTAAGCGAGTGTCCCACAGAAACTGATGGAAAAACTCTCAGCCTCACCAGAGTCTGTGAATTTTACCACACCGTTCTCCAAGATGAGGGGAAATGCTCACTCCCTTTTCAGAAGAGGGTTTGGCCAGAATTATCAACATTTAAAATGTACCCTGGATTCCCAATGGCCTGGGCTTGACGTTCAGCCTCACACCTTGGATAAGTTCTGAGCTTTTCTAAGCCTCAATTTCCAAGTCTACAAAATGGGGGCAAAGCTCCTTCCTCAAATAGTGGTGTAATGTTTAAATAAGGTAATGCACATAAAATACTGAACACAGTGAGTGCCTGACAAATAGTAACTGCTGTATCTCTGAGTCCCTAAGTGGTGCCAACTGAATTTCAACTCAAATGCTACAAAAATCCAGGAACCACTTCTGTCTCTAAGTGATATCTGCCTCTGTTTCTATAAACAAAGACCAAACACACTGTTAGCAGATACTGTTGCAGAAGCCAAAGTTGAGGAGTGTTAAACAAACCAGGACAACAAACCAGAGTGTAACAAGAAGGTATGAAATAAGGTTTTTGAAAATTTAAAGAGATAAAAAACAAAGCACTGACTTAAAATGGCGCTGTATCTTTTAAAAATAAAGTCTGTATTTGAGTTAGTGAAAATTCACTGTTAAAAATAAAACAAGACTATAGAAGAATTCTGATCAAAAGGGGGAAAATGCAGATAAGAATTTCAAATTCTCAAGAACTTTGGACTTTCTGGAGCCATGGAGGGTAGATGAACCCCTGAAACTATTGCCCTGAGATAATCTTTAAACCCAAAATCAGAAATGTCCCTTGAAGTCATCTTAAAATCGAACAATAGTTTAGCTTTTACTTAACTAGTAAAGAACATCTGCCTTGAGCATTACGCTCTTTTAAGAACTATCTATCGGAGCCCTGGCGGCACAATGGTTAACTCAGCTGCTAACCAAAAGATCGGCAGTTTGAATACACCAGCTGCTCCTTGGAAAACCTATGCAGCAGTTCTATTCTGTCCTGTAGGGTCGCTAGGAGTCAGAATCGACTTGACAGCAATGGGTTTGGTTTGTTTGGTTCATATGGGATCAAACTGACAACAGCAACTCGATAGATAGGAACCTTAGGGGGCAGTGAGTTTATATTAATGAGTGAGGAATAACTCAGAAAAGGAGGGTGAGAACAGTTGCACAACTGGAAGAATGTTACCAACGTCACTAAACTGTTCATGTAGAAACTACTGAATCGGTGTATGTTTTGCTGTGTATATTCTCAACAGCAAAATAAAATTTAGAAAAAAAAAAAACAAGACTAAATTTAGCAACAACGTATGACGTACTAGAAATATTCTATTTTTTAAGGCAGGGAGGTAGGTTTGCTGATGTCCGTTAATTTATGCAAAAGAACACACTGTTCTGTTTTCTGCACTGTTTGATATGAGGAGAGTTTAGCAGGTAAGAGGGAACTCCGTGCCATTTAGAATTGAGATTGGAAAGCTCCCAAGCTGAGAAATTCTTAAGTTCCATTAGAAATTCTGTAGACTCGGTTAGTGCGAAGTACCCCACAAGAAGACTAAGGCTTCCAGCTGTAAACGTGAGAAAGAACTCTGTTCAGAAAGTTAAGTGTCCCTCCATGCTTAACTGTGAGGATTTGAGGAGAGGAGAAGCACAGGCAGCAGCACTAGGAACCCCCCTGCCCCCGCTCCCAGATCTCCTAAAGACCACAAGCCCACACGTCCAACACTGAGCTCCCTTCTCTGGCTTTCTCCCCCCTCAGTGCCCAACTCAAAGTCCCGGAGGTGACAGAATCCCCAGCAGATTCTCCAACTGCCCAGGCATCTGGTCCTGCTTATTCTCTTCACGTATGGACACCTTACCATCCTCCCCATTCCTCCACCACAACACAAAGGTAAGGGTCACATGCAGCCTCTCGACTGGTCTCTCTGCCTTCAAACTAGCCCCCTGCCCCACGTCCTTATATGTCCTGTCCTGGTAAAAGAAGTTGGCTTTGATCCCTGCATTCTTACCCACCCATAAAGTCAGCCCCGTCAACTCCACCTCCACTTCCCCTGAACCACCAGAGTTGAGGGGTGCTGTCCCTCACCAGCAAAGTCTCCTCCAACCTGCCCCCCACACTGCTGCCCAACTCAACACCCACAACTCACACAGGCATTCCGTCTGGTAAACGAACGAACCCCAGCCTCAACCATACCCACTTCGTTACCCCCATGCCCAGGGCACCCCAAACCCTGCTGTCCCAGTAGCTGTGCCACGTGGTTCGCTACTGTGTAAGGAAAGGGCCTGACCATCCCACAGGCCACTGTTCAGTTCCAACTCAGGTCACCCTGCTCGGTGCTCTCCGTCGACCAGCTGCCGAGTGCCTGTAATGAGCAGCGGGGCAGGATGCAGACCCAGGCGTGTGGGTCCCAAAGCCCAGGCTCTCCATCCCCACCCAGGTCAGGTCCACCTCCAAGAGGTGCACTTCCACTGGGGCCGTGCCAAGACCAGGGACGGCACTGCGGTGCGTATGTGTGAGGACAGGCCCAAACCTGCAGCTGGAGGGGCCAGGGAGGGTCCGGCACACCACACAGGGGACTTGTACATACACTCACATCCCCAAAACTCCGGAAGGGTTCTACTTCATTTGAATCCTCACTAATTAGCACTTGGATGTCAATTATTTTTAATTTTCACTCTTTTTTAATCCAGAAGGAATTCTAATTTAAAGATGCCAGAATGGGGGCTACTATCTTGTAAATACAGAACAACAATCTGTACGTTCAGTAATTAGGGTCTATTTGTACATCAGCAAGAAGGGAGCTTGATACCTTACATAAGACCACATACAACTTCACAACTAAAATTCAAGCTTCGCAATTTATAAAATTTAAATATATTATTTAACTTAAACTCCTTATAAGATGTAAATCTATTATTCCCTTACTGTATGGGAGCAAGGGAATTTCTACTCAAACAAATTACAACTGACAAGAAGCACAGAAAAATTTCAGTTAGTATTCTAATAGAATGCTTTCCAGAGACATCAGCTGGCTCTAGTTATTTAAAGCCATTCAAAATCTTCAAGTGCCACTGTTATAAAGCCAGAGAAGCAACATAAACACGTGCCCCAACAGGACACAGGGTCTGTCTGCTACTGCTCGAACAACTAACTCAAAGCCAAATTCTCAAGACCTGAATGGGTCGTAAGTGCTTGGGTTGCCTTGCTGACGTCTTGGCTCAAAGCTAGTAACATTCGGTGCATTAAAAACCAAGTACTAGATACTTGTACACCTGCGTTCACTGCAGCAGTGTTCACAATAGTCAAAAGGTGAAACCAGTCCAAGTGGCCATCAAGAGAGGGATGGATAAACCAGATGTGGTCCATCCCTGCAATGCACTACTACTCAGCCATAAAAATGACGTCCTGATACACGTTACAACATGGATAAGCCTGAAAACATGATGCTCAGTGAAGTCAGTCAGACAAAACGAACAAACATTATACGAACCCTGTAAAAACAGTGTCTGACCTCCTCTAACTTCACGGGGGGGGAGAGAGAATCACCACCACCAACAGCCCGAGGATGACTCCTGTGAGGCGGAGGCCAGACATACCTTCTCTCTCCAACCTTTTTACCAATTCTGACACCAACTGTTCCCCCCATGGGAGTCTCTGCTCCTATGCTGGGTTCAATAATTTGTTGCAATGGCCACGCAGAACTCACAGACAATACTCACGATTATGGGATTTATTGTGGAAGTACCAGTTTACAATTCAGTATCAGAAACAACTCAGGATATAGTTCTTCAGTCGGGACGGCCTCTTCTCAACTTTGCCCGCAGGTACACCTCTCTCTAGTCCCTTGGCCCCTCAGCCTGGCCTCTGCCCTGTTTGGGCAAGTGTTACAAAGCTCTTAAACTCCACCAATAAGTGCCCAGGGGCACCCTACTCCACCAGTAAGCCTCAGCCTGAAGGCACTCAGCTCTCTTGCTTGGTAGGTCAGCGAGCCTAGCTCCTCCAAGTGCCCAGAGGCTCCCCACTCTGCCAGCAAGCCTCCTGCCTCACTCTGTGTGCTGAGAAGCCCACCATGCTGTCTCCTGCCGGTCTCCTGCCATCTGCTGTGTTACAGCTCTCTCTTGTTTCCTGGGTCTAGGAGGGTTCTCAGCACAGGGACTGCAGTTCCAAAGGACGTGCTCCGCTCCCATCTCTTCTTCTTGGCTGTAGCCAAGTCCCCTCTTTCTTCTGGGATAGCTCATTTTTAACATAGCAGCATGGCAAATCTGACCAATCCCCTCAGTAGGGTTCCATACACCTTATCTGCATAGTCCTACCACCACAGGGGTTCCATACACCTTATTTGCATCGTCCCACCCCCACAAGGGTGCCATACACCTTATTTGCATTATTAACAAGCTATCCAATCCCCTTGGTGGGCCACAAGCACCTTATCTGCATAGTCCCACCCAATCTTTTGATGGGAGTTACAAAACCATGGTGAGAAAGGCCATATAAAAGCTAACCATCACACTGCAATCCCACTCATATGAAGAATCAAGAATAGGCAAACGCACAGTGACCAAAGTTTATTAGTAGTTACCAGGGACTGGGAAGGGAGAAATGGGGAATTACTACTTAAGGGACACTGAATTTATGTTTAGGGTGATGAAAAACATTTGAAAATGGATAATGGGGATGGCTGCACAACATGGTGAACTGTACATTTAAAAATGCTTAAAATGGCAAATGTTTTGTTATATATATTTTACCCACACACAAACCCACAGGTTCAGTTAAACATAAATTTACCATGTGACCTATCAATTTCACTACTAGGTGCCTATCCAAGAAGCAAGAAAACTTATGTTCACCCAAAGACTTACATACTAATGTTCATTACACACTACTCTTAATAGCCAAAAAGTATAAACAACCCAAAGGTCCATCAACAGATAGATAAACAAAATGCAAAACATTCATAAAATGGAATACTGTTTGGCCATAAAAAAGAATGAAGTTCTGATACAGACTACAACACGGATGAACTTCAAAACGTTAGGCTAAGTGAAAGCCAGATGCCAGAACAGCATTATTGTATGATTCCACTTACTATATGAAATGCCCAGAATAGGCAAATCTACACGGACAGAAAGTAGACTAGTGGTTACCAGGGGCTGGGGTGAGAATGGTGAGTGAGGGGAAATAGGTAAGAGGGACACTTTTGAGGTGAAGGAAACGTTCTAAAATCAGATTGTAGTGATGGCTATACAACTCTGTAACTTTACTAAAAATCACTGAATGTTCACTTAAAACAAGCGAATTTTATAGTATGTAAATTATACGTCAATAAAGCTGTTAAAAAAAAAAAAAGACCAGCTTTAAAGCAGGCTAGTTATAATTTCTATGGGTCAAATTCTGTTCACTCACAGAAAGAAATGTTACTCTGAAAAGTGGTGGTCCTGTTATTTGTGGGTCTTAGCACAGCACTAACATCAATATCACTGAGTGCTCTACCACAAACAAGGCTTTAAGAACAGTCAGAACAAGGCCAGAGGCCAACTGTGGAACAGGTCGTCAGTCACTCATATGCAAGTTCAAGCTGAAGCTGAAGAAAATTAGAACAAGTCCATGAGAGCCAAAGTATGACCATGAGTATATTCCATCTGAATTTACAGATCAT